CAGAAATGCTGCATAGCGGAAAGACCAAGGGTATACGTGCATGTTCCCCAAGATATTCACTCTCGCCCTGGTCTCTGCAAAGCTCCTCAGGCAGTTCGCCAGTCGTCTCACATTCTGTACTGCTCTTTCTGCCTGGCCATTCGACGAGTGTTGGTTCGTCCCTGTCATCCTCACTTCACTGCTCAGCCCCATCACTGCACAGACCTGTTGCACAGACCTGAGTATTTGCCGAATTGCCCTCTCAGGGTCACCCTGAAAAAACGACGGGGTCCATGGAGCTGTTCTTGAGGGAGAATCTGATGACCTCCTCTGTGACAGTTTTGAGACTCGAAGTGCCCTTTGTGGGCACTGGCACAACGTGAACTGCCTTCGTCTCTGAGGCTACCATCACTAAGCACGTCCCGAACTGGTCAGACCGCTCCTTCACCTTGTCCACGGGTCCTTCATCTCCTCTTACATCCTCACCTGTATAGGTGTAGAAGAAGTCCAGTTGGACGACGTTCTTCCCGAGGTCGGCCTTCTCTTCCCTTTGCTCGAACTTGTCTTCTTTGGCTCTTGTCGCCACACATGCTTGGCACCAAGGGGCATAAGGCAGGCGCGTCACGAAGTGAGTTTCCTGTTCCTTCAATGATGGAAGTCTGGGCTGTCCCAAGGCTGTAGGCCTTCTCCCTTGCTCTTCAAACAACTTGCTGGCGATGCTCAACTTCATCTGGTTCTCGAGGTTCACCTTGAAGGCGATCAAACGATCAAGCAATCTCCTTTTGCTCCCACTGTACGGTAGCTGCCTCTCTTTGCATGCCAGCTGAAGTTCCTTTACCGTCATCTTCTCTGTATAGAGCGTCTCATCGAGCTCCACCTCATCTCTCTTCTCTGCAACCACCATCTTTTCGATGTCCTGTGCATCCATCCGCAATTCCAGCTCATCTTCGTTCTCATAGTCGTCTTCTGACCAATCTGTTCTGCCTTGAGATTCCCTCATCTTCTCCTCAGGCAGTGGGCGAACAGGAACCGCTGAATCCTGTTCCCAATAGTCTTCCATCTTGGAAGCTGCGAAGAAAGTGATCGTCCTCTGAGGGCCGCCCATGCCGATCTTTCGATAGGCTTGAGATCCTAGCCCTGCATAGTCCTCAACGTTCTCCAGCTGCGTCCAAAGACCATCACCATCTTTGACTAGAGTCATTCTTGACCTCCATGTCTCTTCGATCTGGCCATCCATGAGTGTTGTTGCCACTGGGTCGCTGTATGCTGCAATCCCATTGGCCTGCGCCAGCCTGGCGCCAGCTCCAACTCCTTCACATACCTGCTAAGTGATCCTCTGAGCGCCAGTACCACTGCAGGTTCTTTCTCCTCCACTGTAGTCGTCCTGCTGCTTTTCCTCCTTCTTCATGGTCTCAACCATATGGATCTTTGCTGCAAATTGCAAGGAATTCCGTTCATCGCTGATCGGAACCACCACGCTTCTCTCTTCATGCTGCAGGGTCAGGCTGCCTCCTTCGTTCTCGATGCACCAACCTTTTCGAAGAAGTCGTCCAGCACATAGGATTGGATGTTTCACATTCCCAAGGACGAATTCCTCCACCATTTCCACATTCTTTCCATTTGCATCTCTTGTACGCAGCCTTGCTCTCGTGACCCCATCATGGGCTATTTGCTTTTTTGTGCGCATCCACCATCTTCAAAGATTCAGTGCCAGGCGCCCATTGTCCCACGTTTCCATAGGACTTGGGCAGGACGGAGATGTCCGCCCCACTGAGGTAGGAAATGAGCAGGCTGCACAGGCGAATGGAGGAGGCCTTTGCCTCATCCGTCATCTCATCAAGCTCGTAGTTGCCACTCAGGTTCTCCTCCACCATCCTCATGCTGTGCGCCATGCCAGGGTCGATGCCCTTCACATAGTTCTCGAAGGAGAATTTCCAGTCGCTTCATTGTTTCAATTCGTTGTCCCTGGTGTCAGGCTTGAAGATGTCAGGGGTCTTCAAGTGGCGAGACCATGCTGTTGAACTCTGGCTCACACTCAACCTCTCTAAAGCCTGTGAAATCTTCTGCAAGCTCTCTTCAGCCATTGCAGCCAGGTAGGAAATGTAGGGCCTGTACGTCCTTCTGGTCAAGGTAGGCATCTTTTCTGAATGGTTGGGCTCGAAGTCAAAGTAGTCCAACAATTGGGTGAAGTCCCAATTCGCCACCAGGTCGCTGATGACCTCCTTGTCGGCGCTGTCCCGAAGCTTCTCAACCTTCTCCACCAATTTCCAGCCAGCTGGGACCAACACAACCAGCTGCTTTTGCTCTCTGGATCTTTTCTTCTTCCTTTTGTCCTTCTCTCTGACCGTCAGAGTGGCTTTCACCACACGGTCGCTGCGCGCCCACTTTAGCTTCCCCACGCGCTCACTGGTATCCACCAGGATGGCGTGGATGTACCTGAGCTTCCACTTGCCAGTCTCGTGCACCACGTTGGGGCTTTGGTAGAAGCACACGATGGAAGCGTCACCAGCTCCACCAGCTATCCCAGCCAGGAGCAGAAGCTCAACCAGCCAGAATCCCACCGAAGTCGATCGTGCCGAAGATGACCGGGATCTCGACCTGGTACTTTGACCAGGAATCGTGGTGCCTATGGCGTGGGGTAGGGAGCCGGGCACTTTACGACCCGGCTCCGCTACCATGCGAAGCGCGTAAAATGCTTTTCGCTCGGGCCTAAAGTCAGGCGGTACACTTCTTGATTTGCGCAGTGGTGCATGAGTGGATGTCACTTACGTGTTATGCTTTCCTGTCATAAACACAAAACACCTCTTTCGTGTTGCTGCAGCCTGCAAAGGCAAGCAAAACAGAGCAAAACTTTACCTACACATGCCCTAGCTACCCAGCCTCCAGCTGCGGGGAGGGTTTCAACAGCTGCAAGACTTGGGCCCAGCGATGTCCTTGTCCTCAGGCAATGCTAGTATGACCAAACATTCCCGGACTCGGAACACCCCAGGACTCGTGGACGTTGACTCAAGCTGATGGCTAAAAAATGCCAGTCCAACGTGCACTGTGCGCCCTGTAGTTTCAAATTGTTTGGCCTTCAAACTGCCATCTGCAAGGGCGAAAGAAACTCGAACCAAAATGAATGCGGGCAATCGGCAATACGTTTTCCGGGGCTCTGCTACTGTCCCAAACCTTTTTTTTGGATGTTTGAAGGATGCCTCACCCACCGGCACAAAACGCCCAAACTGATCCAAAAGCCACAAGAAGGGGCCTGCCTCCCACGACCAATCAGGATCAATCAGGGTTGTTAGCTTCTCGGATTTGTTGGTGAAGGAGGGCCCATCTCCGAGATGGCTTTGCGTTTCTTGTTTGGAAGACACAGGAGGCACACAGCCCCAAACTATCGAAAAATGCAAACCAAAACGAAAACGAACGTTGTATATGCACATATAATCGATATGTATATATATATACTTATAATACTTATGCTGAAAAGGATCAAGCTGTTGCTGCTGATGCCCCGGCGCACGTACTGTTCTTTTGGCAACTCGGCATACTGTAGACCGTTACCAACAAGTTCATGTGTTCGAATAGTGCAAATCTCAAACCTTAGCCGAGCGTCCCAGAGACACAAAGAGGGCACCATAGCTGACGACGCTCGGAGGCAAGCTGGCGTTGTTCAAATCAGCAAAGAGCTGCAGGGCGTGTTCCTCGATGTCACAATCCCCCAAAAAAACGCACAGCACGCAAACCCGGAACCACTGGCTTGCGGAGAGCTGGTAGCTCTCCAAGGCTCTAAGGAACGACGTCTTCGTTGCATCAGCTTCTGACTCCGGCCCAAATTGCTGGTTGCGGGGGCTCGTTTGGGGGGGGCTCAGGCCCCTCGGCCGTTTCATGTCCTGCGCCTTTGGGCGACCCGACAGCGTAACAAGCCATGTGCGTCCGGGTTCCCAGTGCTGCTCGCACGCGTGCATGCCAATATTGAAGCAAACCGTGTCCAGCTTCAACCGCCTGGGGCGCGCAGCAGCCAAAAAAAGGGGCCACGTGGGTTCTAGGAAGACTGAGGGCACTAGGACCCACTGCTTTGTACTGCGCGAAGGGCAAACCTGGCCCCTTCACTGCTCGTACAGTCTGAATTACCACGGGGGGCAGTGCACTTGGCACAACTCTGTGACCAGCGAAATTGGCCTATCCCACAGGAATGGCATATTAGAATGCATTAACCAGAAGCCGGAGCCACCAAACCCAGCAGTTCTACACTCGCTTCGCTGGAACTTGCCAGTGCCTCTCCCGGAGTTCTGCCAGCAGCGCCAGCGCCGGCTGCCAGCGCCTCCGCCGGGCCATGCTTCGCAAGACCTCGCTGCAGGGCACGGCGCCTGGGCGATGGCCGACCTCGGAGGATGGCGACACCGTCGTGGCGACGCGGTCGACGGGAACTCAGTTGGTCAGGTGAACCGTCCCGTCGACACCGTCTGCGACTGCACTGCTACTGCATGCGTGGTCAATGCGTGCAACAGTGCTGCGCAGGAAATGACGTTCGAATCAAAGCCACTTTTAGCCGCTCAAGGTGTTTCTCGAAAGTCTCGCACCTCTTGCAACTCCAAAGCGTCCAATGCCCCTCAGCCCTCACCCTCACCCAGCGCCGGCGCTCGTCACCCACGCAGACCGAGTAGCGCGCTGACTGGTCCAAGGCACTGCCCAAAGGCCATCCAACAGATGCAGCGCATGTTGCCAATGAAACTTCCTGCATGCTGACCGCAGCGGTGTGAGGTTCAGCCGGTTCAGGCCAGTCGGCATGGACTCGCCATGGTCCCCTCGGGTGCCAAAATGGCGGCATGCAAAACGGCGACACCGTGTGGTCAGCAGCCAACACCGTGGGCCACCTGATTCAGCGCGAGGCGGAAATCTTCGTCTTCACCAAATCCGATCCAAACAAGCTCCGTCACCACCCAATGGATGGAGCTCAGCATGCTCAGTATGGAAGGTGCGGTTGCTCACCCCCCCCTCCACGGCCCGAAGGCGAGCCGACCAGCCCAGCCGTGACGCGTTCGCCGGCATGAGGTTCCACGCCGTGTTCGCCAACGCTTGGGGGGAGCCATGGGTGAGTCCTGGTGGCAGAGAAGGGAACGGAAAGAAGCTCCAAATGGCCGAGCTCCACGCGCTGCCCATCTAACTGCTTGACTTCGGACCACGGTAGATGGGTCGTGAAGAAGACTCGAACTCAACTGTGAACGGTTCTGAGGTGGCGGCACACTCTATCTCACTGGCACGGCTCAAATGCCGCGTCCCATCTCGGTCCTTTGGCCGCGACGGCCTCCAAGAATGGCTCGTGGCGCACCAGCAACTGCCCAAAGGCCCACACCACGTTGGCCATCCCCTGGGCCTGTCTTCCAACACGCTTTGTTCAACAGATCAGCCCTGCGAATTGCTCACCCAATGGCGCAGATCCCAACAGAAGGAAATCCCAGTCGCGCCTGAAATTCATGCAGCCGCTGTGCACCAAGAAGGCCCACGAGATGCAACGCGGGCATCCTGCAAGCGCAAAGCTGACATGTCACAAAGTTGGTTTGGAAGGGGTGAGTCTGAGTCTCCATGTTCCCGAATCTATGGGCAGAATTGATCTAACAACGCAAGTCCACTGTACCAAGAAAACCCTGTCGAAACGATTTCACCTTCAACAATTTTTGGTCACGTATATATTGTTCGCAATGTTTTCAAGGTAAACAGGCTCGTGGTTGGGCGTGTTGGTTGTGAAGAAATTGTTTACAACATCAATGCTCCAAGCCTGTAAAAATCACCAATCTAAAAGTAACATCTAAAACAAAACGAAATCTCTGTGCCCAGGGCAGTGCCAAACACATTTCCATGAAATGGCAGGCTACACAAGTGTCCAGCACATGCAAGACCAAATGTTTTACATGTTGTACAACATAAATTCCCTTTTTTGATTTTTGTATGCACTCAGCATGCGGTTGTTGTTTCCAAATTGGTTTTGTAAAGGTGCGCTAACTATTAATGACCAGTTGGTTTTGCAAATGCCACTGAGAAATATTTCCCTTCATCTACGTCATTCTGCGCCCTTGTCTTCTTCATGAACAAATGTATGTTACCATTCAACTATATCCATGTCCACGCGTTCCAATGTCAATACTTTACCCTCAAACTTTTCAGCATCAAATCTCCTGCTGATAAATACGAATATGAAGTTGAAATGACATGAGATTTTGGCACGCTGAAACCATCTAAGATTCCACCATATTACCCACCTACCCGTTGGCACAACAGCAGCAGCAGCAGGTATAGAAATTTTACACAAGAATGGGATAGGGGTGAGACTTTTGCGGCGTGGGGCCATGGCCCGTCACAAAACGGCATCCCAGAGCTAAAGGGATGCGTGAAGTTTCGCCGCCTGCTTCATCACGTGTCACTCGTGGATATGGAGACTTTCCCCCTTCTGTTGCCAAGGTGTAAGAAGCTTATGCGTAAGGCGCAACTACCTTTCTTACACGGCGGTCAAAACCAGCGCTAATTACTGTAACAATGTTTTTGCGAAACTACAACAGTACTCATCCCTTTCATTTCAAACATCATGAAGCGCATGTCAAACGACACAGCGCAAAACGAGAAGCGTCGTACCGAAGACCGCTTGAGTGCTCAAAGATCCGCGCGCTAACGGGGCCAAGGATCCTCATTCCGCTGGACACGGATCTGGGACAGGACCCCATCCCCAAGGGCGCCGCAGCGGTAGCCATAGAGCAGGCCTCGCAATCAGAGCCAAACGCTTCTTGGAGTACAAGATCGGCTGCTGAGCTGGAGCGCCCTGCGTCCCAAGAGCCGGAAACACAGATGGATTTCAGCTGAGGAGTTGAGCAGCACCTAGCACCCCTGGACCCTGAGTTCCCCGGCACCTTTCAGATCACACAAAACCAAACAAGGGAAGCCTCCAGACCGATGAGGTGAAGCAGCGGGGAACGTTCCTATTTTGCGAAGCGCGGAGCGCACCGTAGCAGCGTATTGGGCTCTTGTTTTCCTGATCACTTTGAGGTGTCAAAAGGGGCTGTGGGTCACACGGCCTCATGCCATGTTCAACCATGCTACTCTTTACAAAGAAAAACCTGAAGAATTTTGCAATCCTCCTTGAAAGCAGCTTGGTCTGAAACGTCCCTTGAAAGTGAAACATCCCACTAAATGGGATCTGGCTCTGGCGGATCATCCCGCTCTGGGCGGGGCTGCCCCCGTCTGCGACGGCATTGCCGATCTGAGGTGTAGGTACAGTTTTGGGTTTGGCTGCTGCCTTACAGTTTGCTTGCCTGCCCCTTTCCCTGGCTCGGCAAATTTGGCATACATGACGCATGTCCACCTCGCACGCATCACTTCGCCCTATCGGGATGGAGTCTCTCGCTTGAAGTGGAAAAGTCAAAGTCTTCCATGCTTTGCGCATCTAGAAACAAAATTACTTCACTTCCAATTCGCAATCCGTACTGAGATGCGTTCCAGCCACAGCGGGCCCAGTACTCTGATTGAACCACAGCTACGGTTGGTCCAGGTCCAACATTTTTGGTAGACTGAAAGCGGGAATCAGTTTTGGACTACTCTGAGACTAGTCTCCGCGTGAAAAATGCTGGAGAAGGTCGCGTATGCCCCATATTTTTCGCCCTCCGCGTTTCAACGTTAGCCTACTCTCAAAGGCTGATGATCGCAGAAATGGCTCGGAGTAGATATTTCTACCCACACCCAGCAAAACGGAGAAAATGAAGAGATGGGATGAGAGTAAGTTGTGGAGCAGTGAGAAAATGTTGAAAATGGTCGATTGCTGCCTCGCATGCAAGCAGAGCAACATGCCTTTGAAATGCCATGGGTTATGATGCCGACAACTTTTGCGGAACTCCAGCCCCAGCTGCCAAGCATGGCCAGCTATAGTAAAAGGCTCACTGCGTCCAACTAGAAGGAACCGATATCTTTTCATATTGCATATGCGCGGGGAGCGTTGCCCTCCGCGCGCCCATTTGCAGGTCGCAAACTTTGGACGCAGGCCTGCCACATTAGAGTCGAACAGCTTTTGAAAATGAAAGGGGGTCAAAGACCATGTGTGGGCATTTTTAAAGTATACCAAAGTCCCAGGTGAATGGTTTTGAACTATGTCCGTGATCACTGCCCTGTCGAGAAAAGACATTCAGAACATCAAAACCCATCAAGCGACTGAAGGAATCAAGGTCTGAGATTCCCAACCGCTTTGATGGATAAGACATAAAACACAGCAAGGACTTTTGGATCTCCTTATTGGCAGACGCCACTGATGCCAACTTGCTGGCACAGCTTCGTCATGTCAACTCGTTGGCGTGCTTGGTGTCTTCGGACTAGCTTAAAATCATGTTCGGAAGCCCGAACGACATGAAGCGCTCCAACACACCCAGCCTTCTGGATCCTTACTACCGCTTGCGCGTCAAAGGAATGCAGCGCCACAATTCCGGAGGCGAACAATTTCCATTGATTACGCACCACAAGGTGCGCATCATGAGAAATCGTGTCAGTGGCCATATCGGTCGGGACACACCAGGGGTCAGCGGCTGCAGCGCTCATGACTTCGCGTCCCTCAAAATCCACGCCAGACGCTGTCACAATCGGTTGCTTGTCAAAGGTTGCGAATATATTTCTAGAATTTTGTTCGTTTTTTTGGTTGATTTTTTTTGTTTTTCGTGTTTCGTGGCAGGTGCAGTACTTTGTGGACCTTGCAAAGCACATTTCGTGGCAGGTGCAGGACCTTGTGGGCCTTGGAGTGCAGAGTTTGTGGCAGGCGCAGGACTTTTTGTGGGCCTTGAAGTGCAGATTTCGTGGCAGGTGTAGTACTTTGTGGCCCTTGGCGTGCAGATTTTGTGGCAGGCGCAAGACTTTGTGGACCTTGAAGTGCAGATTTCGTGGCAGATGCAGGACTTTGTGGGTGTGGAAGTGTAGAGCTGGTGGCAGGTGCAGGACTTTGTGGGCCTTGGAGTGCAGATTTCGTGGCAGGCGCAAGACTTTGTGGACCTTGAGTGCAGATTTCGTGGCAGGTGCAGTACTTTTGGATGTTGAACTGCAGAAAGATAGAAAGATAGAAAGATAAATTGATAAATAGATTAGATTAGATTAGATTAGATAGATAGATAGATAGATAGAGGGGCATATTTGCTTGGTTAGAAAGTTTTGCACCGGGGAGTTCACCTCAAAATATTGATTTCGTGGCAGGCGCGGGTGTCGGGGATGAAGTGCAGATTTCGTAGCGCGGCGGGGGGGGGGTTGGGGGGGGCGCAGCGACCCCCCCAGCAGCACACCAGATCCAAAAGTGAGCAGCTCGTGCTTGCTTGTTTGCTTGCTTGTTTGCTTCCTTGTTTGGTTTCGTCTCTGCAACGAAAACAACAGGAAAAGCAAATACAAAAAGAGAAAGGAGAACAGCTGCCAAAAGAAAGGAAGAAAGAAAGAAAGAAAGATAGATAGATAGATAGATAAATAGATAGGTAAAAACAGATAGATGGATAGGCCAAAAAACCAAAAGCCACAAAAGCCAAAAGCCACAGAAGCCACGAAAGCCACGAAAGCCAAAAGCCACAAAGGCCAGAAGCCACAGAAGCCAAAAGCCACAAAAGCCAGAAGCCACAGAAGCCAGAAGCCAGAAGCCACGAAAAAATAAAAATTAAAAAAATCCAAAAATAAATACCCCTCCCTTGTCAAACTGGGCGCCCGGCAATTGGTTCCTTAAGCCACTCAATTTCGGCACGCAGTGCTGCCTCAGGGACTCCGCGCGTCACTTGAGAAGCAAGAAATTCCATGTGAAATTGGCAATATAATACGCAAACATACGCAGACAACGTCTTAAGCCAAACACCATCAAGGCTATAGGCCCCCGGGCTATATCGCAACACGATGCGGGTCAGGTCTTCCGCAGCCCTAACGCAGGAGCGATGCTGAAACGATCCTCTTAGCTGTGTTTTGCGGCCAGCCTCTTCTTTTGGCCTTTCGACCTTACATTGTGAAGGGAGCAGATGGCCGCTTACGCTGAAACTGCCATAGGTACACAGAACATCACGTCCCAGAGCTGAAGCTCCTCCATTTCCCCCAGGTTCGCGACTGCTGCTGGTGGTGGGGCCAGTGGCATGGATCTTGAATTCTCCGTTTCTGCCGCTTCTGGATCTGGTTCATGCGCTGTCAAGCGTCCGCACATCCAAAGTGCACCTGCCGCGATCCAACTTGCCACTTGGAAGGTTCCAAACAGCGTCAACATGAAAATCCCACAACCCAATAATCCATCAGATGTCTCCGGGCACGGCGATCCTTGTCCTGCAGCGGTTACAGCGCTGGCTGAAAGCAGAACTGTTCGGATCTTGAACTCAGCAGCGCTGCGCGCTCGCTCTGGCACGGAGTTGCCTGAGAGTAGTGATGTTTCTCCTGCTGGCTTACCTGGTTTCCAGGTGCATCAAGCTTTCACATTGGACACCTTCACGTCTATACGGTGGAACAGTTTCTCCACCTGCTCAGGGGTCGCTTCAAGCATGCCCAACGAAGGCAGGGCTGCCTGCACTTCGGTTCCATTTTTGGCGTGTTCCGTCAAGAATTGGATGGGTTGTATGTCCTTTTGACCTTCCTCAAGCTAAGCAAGGTTGGTTCCTGGTCCAATCCCCATTCCTGAAGGGCAAACGAGCTATCTGTCCACATCTGTGGCTCGGCAACCTGCCGAAGTCCAGCCTGTTTCACGCGTGCCTCCCGACACTCCTCTCAGCTCAGCGTCCGGGGAACTGGTTGCCGGAAGTCGCACCACCCAAGGTGGTGGCGTGGCAGCCCGCCGAACGGCGGGCATCACCAGCACAGATTCCTGCATCGAGCACAACCACCCTGTAGATCATAAACTCATACCGATTGAGATGTGCTCCCAAGGTTTTCGCCGCTTGCCAATCACAGTGTCTCGGGGCTGACATCCGCCTGGCCAATCTCTGACCGCAAATTGGATGTCGCGGCGTTCTGCAGACAAATAGTTGGCACTGCCTGCACGGTGCTGCGATAGGACTTGGCTTGCACCTCGCGCAGTGGCTCTGCATTGAGGAACTTCAATTGTTCGCTAGGCACTCCAGACTTCTCCCATGCTTACACCAAGGGCTGCAATATGTCGTGGGTCTGCCACGGTCAATCTTTGGCGCGGATCCTCTTGCGCCCAAGCACCTCCACGCTTGCCCCAATCCTTTCTAGCTCACCACACTGGACTTCGCAGCGCTTCGCGAACTCTTTCTCAAACAGCTTGGCAAGGAGACCCTCCGGTCCGGCAGCTCGGAAATCATCTATGTGATAAGTCAGGATGATCCTTTGGCCGCGTGCGAACTGGAACGTGTCAGGGCCCAGTCGACTCACCAAGATCTCCTCAAGTTCATTTCGATCCACCGATCCTGCGGCGCGCCTTCCATAAAGATTTCCATCCACGCGGCGAAAAAATTGTTCGAAATCTGCCTTGGTATTTCTCCTGGTCAGCCGGCGCCAGACTTTGAAGCCAAACATGGAAGATGTCCTGCCTTCTTTTTACAGGCTTGGAACCGAAAAAAAAAACAGATTGAGAACACTGTTAAATAAACAATCCGTCAAGACTTCATTGTAAACACGACAGATATCCTTTTTGGACTCGTCTCATGGGAAATTTTTTGCCTCTACCAGGAAGCTGCGGCACAAGCTCTCGAGTGCAACGAATGAATGTCGAAGAAGGGGGAAGTTATCGCGTGCGGCATCTCCCCCCTCGCTGCCGGCAAAGCGATGGGATGAAGTTCTTGGAGTGAAGCGACTTGTTCTTGGCCCAGGATTTCCCGTGTATGGATCATCTGGGAACGAAAGGTGTTCCAGGCATCAAGATTCGGACGGGGTCCCGGGATGGACTCCAAGTAGTCGTGAACATCATCAAATTGGTACAGAAGGAGGCTGACAAAAGCAATGGTTTGTGTCACGCTTGTAAGCGCAAAACACATGTGGCAATAGTGGTCCCTATAGGTGGAGAAAGGGGATGGTGGCGAAAGTTCACGTGTCAAGTGAAAATGCAACATGATCATGATTTAGGCCTGCAAGTGTGTGACATTACTGTATGCTACTAGGCCAGCACATGTCCCGCATGGTCCATTGTAACAACGTGGCCTTGTGTGGGCGCTGATGGATATCACTGCATTCATCGGTCCAAATCAGCACATCGGCATGAGGCAAACGCTTGAGTTTGATCGCTCCTTCCAAAGGTCGCTCCTGGTGCCAATGCTCAGCAGATTTGCATTGATACGTGTCGAGTAAATCTTCCAGATCAACGAAGAGCTGACCTGACAAGCCACAGCTATTGCATCCAGGCACTTTTTCCTCCATATTGCCGGGGGGCACGTTGGAACCCACTCTTTGCCTTGTTGGTGCGCACTCTAAATTCAGTAGGCTCGTAAACCAGATCTCGGATCGCAGCACATGTGAAGGACAAGGTCCGCCCCAGTCCGCCCCAAGAAGGTCTCACCACGGCCAACTGTACGGGCAGGCGCACCCGCAAGCGCGATCGTAAAGCCATTGCTTCACCAGGGTCGCAGCTTAGCAAAAGATTTGGCAAGAATGCCAGCGTCTTGGGACAGACATCACGAAATTTTTGCACAGTCTTGTGCCCATGCTTGTCGTGAATGGCTAGCTCAAGCCACACGTGATTGTTGGTATACAAGAAGGGCGAAGTGGGTACTGAGTGAGAATCAAGTTGAAAGTCAATGGAAAGAATCGGCAGACACCGATTCGCTTTGGTGTTGGTCCGAATCCAGTTGACGCACGCCTTTGTCAAGGGGATGCGTCCAAGCTGTTCTGCTGCGTATTCGGGTTGCAAATGTAAGGCCAGCGACTGTTGCAACCCGTCCATTCCGCTTTGCTGCATCGTTAATGGCCCGAATGCAGCAGCAGATTGGCCACACGCCGATTGGCCACGCGCAAACGTTGATAGCCATGCTGATTGTCATGGCTGCTGGCCAGAAGGTTTTGGATTCAAAGTGTCCATCTCCATTTCCGGCTCGATGTCCATGACCCACATTTTGATGCATTCCGTGACTACCCGCCTTCGTTCACACCAAAGGATGTCTTGGTCAAAGGTGATGGCATAAAGGTTGTCGCCAACGGGTAAGGTCCTTGTCTGCTGCTTCTTCACACGGACCTTTTTGTCCATCAGCTCGTGCAAAAGGCTCGACCCAATCAAGCGCGCCAAAGGGCTTTCTAGCAGCAGATCCCCATCATCGGCAAAAATATCACCAGGCCGTGCCTGTCTATGGGGTGTATCCTTGGGAGTCTTCGGGATACCTCCACGATGTTCAATGATATGTTGAATGGCAGCGGTTCCAGGTAGCACGGCATTTTCAGGATCAATTTGAAATCCGCCACATGCTTCCATGACACTCATCACAAAGTTTTGCAATTGACGGGTGACACGCATGTGGACTTGCTCCGAAGACCGGTTGCGTTCGTCTACATCATCGCAAATGCACTGGGTAGAGTGACATTTTTCACAGACATGCAACGGCACCGAGGTATGTCCTGGCAAACGACAAGTATTCTCCAACGATTCGCCAAGATGATGCCGCGAATCATAAGACATGCCCGCATAGGAAGAAAGCTGATGTGCATTCAGCGGTTCGACAACATCTGCAGCCAAAACATGCTGCGCACCTTGCACCGCTTGACGTGATTTGACATCATCCTCAGCAATGAAGCCCAAAGCCAACAACACGCCATGACTGAACATCCGCATGAGAAAGCCGGCCGCCACGGAAGTGCCTTCAGTTGCTGAGCATGCGGACTTGAGAGAGGAGGGGGTGAACGAAAGGTAGCAGGCAATCACAAGTAACCCTGGTAGAAGTCCACGACGGCGTGAACCGGCGCAGGGGGGATTTGATCCAGGGGGGGGGGCCCCCCCCGACGAACAGAATCAACTCTTACAGGACCAAATTCAATGCACAATCCCAACTCCTGATTGTAATACATTTTTGCTAAAGCAAGGAAGCTCAAGCTACCTTTCGTGATAACTGTGGCTGTCGAGCTGCTTGCTCGTGCTCTTTGAAGAAGGCGGCGATGGTACAGCGTGCCAACTCACGGACGTCATCCATGCAGATATTTATCATGGCCATGATGCCACGATTCCATTGATTACACAAGTCGCGGTATGCCCAAGTGCATAAGTCAGCATGCGTGTCATCGCTTGGGCGTAATGATCTCAAGACATCTTGCAAAAGCCATTGTTCCACACGACCCTTGGCCCCTGGGTTGACGCAATCAATACTGTTTCCACATACTTGACCGGCTGTCAGGGGAGGCAAGCCAACTTTCACCATCAAGTCCACGTCCAGGCCAAAGCAAAAATGCTGAGGTATGTCGGCATCGCGCAAAGCTTTACAACAAATGCCGGGAATTGTATCGAGGCTCGTGTTTGCAGGCCACCGACCTGGTTCCACGTCAGAAGGCGGAACCAATCCTCTGAATACGTTGAATTGACTTTGACCTCAACCATCAAAGAACCCTTCCACGTGGCCACAATTCATTCAGAAGGCCGGCGTCCTTCCATATGTAAAGCACGCAAGCGGTTGTTCACCAACAAGTGCCCTCCCAGAAGACGAGGACATGGAGTGGAAAACTGGCACATGGTCTGTTTAACTGCTTGAACGCCTTCAACGGGCCTGGACAATACCACCGATAACTCACCAAAGTCATAGGGGTCGAAGTGAATCCTGCAAAGGTCCAGCTGGGGCCACTCATAGCGCATAACAAGCATCTCAACTCTGATGTCATCAACCGAGAAAGTCATCTGACGGTCAACTACACGTTTGGAGGCCCATTGTGCTCTTTGCACCACAAAGCAATAAGGGCCCCAACTCAGCTGCCATGCCTCCACCGCGCGATTGCGAGGTCGCGGGTATTTCATCTTGACGATCTCTCTGTTGGGGCCAATCTTGGAGTACAAGTCGATGATAAGCTTTATCCATCCAGGATCCTTCAACAAAGTATCGCGACAGCGTAGCCGCCGAGCTCCCCGCCCATGCTCAAAGAAAACGTCACGAAACTTGACGAGATCGTCATGAATGTTGGCAGCATGATCTTTCTGGCTCAAGCGCTGGATCATGAACTCAACCATGACGTGCCACAGATCGCCGAGCAATTTGGGACAGCCACGGGACACCGCGTCGCTGCCAGGGGCGCGTCCAACGCTTCCAAAGGCTTCATACGCTCCATGAGGCGCCAGGGACGACAACAAACAGATAACAGTAAAAGTTTTAGCAAAAGGTTTGACGCTGCTTAATGTGACTTGTGGTGTGTGATCGGTCTATCTTACATCTACTTTAATCAAATGATTGCTCCTTGGTCGAAAAAATTGAGATAAAATATCGTTTGTGACTTGCACACACATGGCTGCACAAGCTTTCAATGCATTAGCCAGCCATAGCCATCCTGCAGTCGATTTGACATCTAAGTTACACCCAACAACGTACGGAGGCAATGTAGATACTATTTCATCTCATACTTCCACTTTACCCGCTGTAAAGACACGCCCCATTGAAGACTTGAACAAAATGGAAACCAGCCACAAAAACTCTTTCTTCAACCCGTGCTTCAACCTCAAACACCGTATTCCCGCGTAAGTGCAAAACGTCACACACATCAGGCTTCGCATAAGGCATCGCATAAAGCATCGCATAAAGCATCTCACAAAAATGCGAGAGTGGTACCTTCCGGTGAGGGCCGGTGGCATCGTCATAAGTTCGTGATAGCGCGTGCCATGCAGCTGGGACGCATACCACGAATGCACCGGTGATGAAAATTATCCCGTGGTGATAGATATATTGTTGATTATAGGGGCACAGGCAACCCAGGAATCACATTGTTGTGCTACATCTAGCCACGCAACTGGTCAAAATTATACCGAAAATTTTGATAAGGAATCATCCCATCTGATTGCAGGCCGGCCTTGCCGATGACTTGGCTTTGATTGAAAATTCATCTGCCATTGTTGTGTTGGACCCCATCTCAATTCCGATTGATTAAGCCTAACCATCACAAAAAAAAAATCTCTCAAAAATGTTGTTGTTAAGGTATCGTTTGGGTTGTTGTTGACTTGTTGACAGCCTGGGCACACTTTGAAAAAATATAGTGGACTTGACATGTGCGCAAAAGAGTTCTACTTGAGAGGAGGGAGACACGAAAGGCAGGACAGCGGGAAGAGAAGAGAACGCGAGAGGCAGGAACAAAAATGCAATGTTCGACATGGTGATTTATCCCCTCGGAGGCGACCTTTCGTAAATATAATGTCATATGCACTCTAAATGTTCAAACATATGCTCTCAAAGATTCTTAGGAAAATAAACTTTTCCCATGGTTCAGAGCATCAGTGCGCATTGAATCGGAGCATCATCGGATTTGAACTATCCTGAAACCATAAGAGGCTCGCGAAGACGTTCCCCAGGAGCGAATTGATGTGCTTTACAAAACAAACTCTAGGTATGTATCCCCTCAGGGAACACCTTTCGTGATGTTTCAACTATCCTGAAATCATGAGACGCTCACGAAAACGTTCTCCAGGAGAGAATTGAATTTAGAGAGGGGGGGGGGGTCGGTATTGAAAAATCAATTCCCCGGGGGGCGGAAGGGGGGTCTGTATTGAGAAATCAGTTCGAGGGGGGGGGGTGGAATTGAATGATCAATTATTAGACCCGGACGCGCCCTCTAAGTATCCCCTTAAGGGCTACCTTTCGTGATAATCACGAAACTATGAGTGAGGAATGGTCGCGGAGAAATGCTCGCATAATATCGCGTGAATGTTCGGAAGCTGCACTATGCTGTCAGGAAGGGCAAGTCCAAACGCAAAACTTGCTGTCAAACGCACTACTTACTCTCACATACTCTCACATCATTGTATATGCCGAAGTTCATGTGGTCAGTCAATGTGTGCCCTAATACGGCGCTGCGCTTTTGAGAGTTCAGACACTTGTTCAGTGGTTTCGGGGCTTCTGGAAGAAGACTTGGATGTTCCAAGCATGCACCGCGCTTTTGCAACACGGCTGAAAACCGAGTGTTTGCCCTACACGTGTCATGTTTGTCGACATGCCCTTTCGTGCTTTAACCAACGAGCGAGATTGAGTGGACACCTAAATACTGTACATTCTTTTGTTGTGAAACATTGTGAAACCACCCCCTTTGAGATTGCAGGGGGGTAGGTCAGCGCAGCCCACTTTAGAAGCCTAAATTTGTGGACATGGCCCCCAGAAAAGAAAATGCGGTAAAGAATCAAAAGCACGTCGTGGAAAATGAGCGTAGTATAGAACCGAGCTCACAAGATCAGACAGAAATGTCACAAACAAATGTAGTTATGGGCCATGGGCAATATATAGTTTTTATGAAATCAAGAGCGCTGAGGATACTAGCCACAACAACAAAATATGTTCATCTATGGGATGAGAGACCCCCTGATTCTAGAGTAGCTACAGGGGCCTTGTCATTTCCTCAGGCCTTCGAAGGGTGCAAAGGAGCTTCAGATAAGAGGACGATTTTGGTGAGGCTACGCATTCCAATTCTAGACAGGGGGGCTGCTCAAATCTTGGGCAGCCAATGGTGGGCTGGAAGGGGTGCTGGGTGTACACAGGGAAGGGTGCTGGGGCTGGTTGTTTTGGTTTTCCATTCAACTCATTGTGCACCTCATTGTTTGTGTCTCCGCCTGAAAGAGGCTGGGTTTGATTGGTGGACCTGTCCAAAAATAGTTCTCTGAGAAATTGGGGACACAAGGTCTTGGGAAGGGTTTGGCCAGTGGTGGACTGGTTGGGGTTTGTAAGTGGCCAAGTTTGGGGTTGGGTTGCCTCAGATAGGAGCACGCCCTGGTGATGCTATTCATTCCAATTCCAGGCAATGCTCAGGTGTTGGGGGGGGCCATTGGTGGGCTGAAAAGGGTGGCTGGGTTTAGACATGGAAACGGGTGATGGCATTGGTAGCTGAGGCTGGGTCTTTTCCAAGACACTACTTGTGTACCCCAATCCTCCAATTCTTTGAGTGTTATGTTGTTTGTGGCTCTGCCTGAAAGACACAAGTTCTTATTGGTGAGCCTGTCCGAAAGTACATCTCAAAAATTAGGGACACAAGGTCTTGGGAAGGGTTGGGCCACTGCTGGTAGGCTCCACGGGGTGGCTGGCTATGTGACAAAAAAACAACGAATGTGCGGCGTTGTATTGAGACTGGAGTGATGGTGGTTGAAATTGGGTATTCCCTTCTAGATTGATCTATATTGGTCGTCTTCTGGGACTGGCATGGATGGTAAACCATTTCCAGAGCCAAGGACTGCAAAACAAGAACATAATTCATAAGTCGCTCTAGAATCAACTGCACAACCTCTTCAAGCCTAAAACCTCTATAGAATCCAAGAACCTGATATTTTTTGACAAAATGTTAAAATATATGTTTCTCTAAAAAATCAGCAGCACCAACCTTCTCAACATGTTCTTGTGTCTTTACTCCGTCTCTTCTAAAATCGTCCACGCCGCCAAGCTAGTCCTTTTAGTCTAAAGTTCTTTACATTTGAGCAAAGCGCAGCCAGTCCAATACAGTGCATGCCTCGAACCCAGCATAACCCAGCGGCTCTGCGATTGATTTTGCGAGCTTGCGCGCGTTGTTTATTATGTTTTATTGAAGGGTGTTCCAGCGGCAAGTGGAGGAAGGACGAGG